TGGAGCGTGTCCAGAGAAGGGCAACGAGGCTGGTGAGGGGTCTGGAGAACAAGTCTGATGAGGAGCGGCTGAGGGAGCTGGGGTTGTTCAGCCTGGAGAAAAGGAGGCTGAGGGGAGACCTCATCGCTCTCTACAACCACCTGACAGGAGGTTGTAGCGAGGGGGGAGTCAGTCTCTTCTCCCACCTAACAAGCGATAGGATGAAACAAAACAGTCTCAAGTTGCGCCAGGGGAGGTTTAGATTGGATGTGAGGAAAAAATTCTTTACCGAAAGGGTTGTCAAGCATTGGAACAGGCTGCCCAGGGAAGTGGTTGAGTCACCATCCCCAGAGGTGTTTAAAAGACGTGTAGATGTGGTGCTCAGGGCCATGGTTTAGTGGTGGACTTGGCAGTGCTGGGTTGATGGTTGGACTTGATTATCTTAAAGGTCTTTTGCAACCTAAATGATTCTGTGACTCCAATATCCAATATTGTACCATATGCAAGGGCGCAGCCTTCCTGCAATATGCCCTGGGAAAGCTGTATGCTGCAAGGCAGAGGAGACTCATCCTGAACCGAAGCAGTTAGGTTGCTCTGCCTCTACTCCGATTCATCACTCGTACCCCTACTTTTAAATAAAAACATGCAGAACTTACTTAACTTGCCTCCTGGCTTGCAGTTCACTGGCCTTGCTCACCACTTAGCTGGGACAGTGCCCGGACGGGCTGTTGCGATGAGCCCTGCACCTCCAGGTGCCTGGTGAGAGACACCGGAACCTCCTCCTGGAAGAAAGAGAGGGCGAGTGTCCAGACCGTTAGTACTTTTTATTGCGGCCGCCCTCAAGAGCACGTGCAAAGCCCACATCTAGTCTTGGACTTGATGTTTCTGTGCTAGAAGTCCAGCTATTGGACCTCGCTTTTTGCTTCCCCCTCCCCGCCCCCAGCTTGGGCTTTGCGGTTAAGCTTGCTCAGTAGCAGGGATGGACAGACCATGGTGTGCTCTGCCCTGGCTAACGGGGGGGAAAAAGTCCACCTTGAGAGACTGCTATTCCTTAGCTGGCAGTCTGGGAGGAATGGGAGCGATGTTAGAGTGGTTCCAGCTTCATGCTGGCCAGCCAGCTCGACAGGTGGTGCTGCTCTTGACTTGCACGCTAAGCTCTAGCTTTCCTTCCTGCAGGGGTGAAGAAGAAAGCCAGCTACATCACTCCGGTCCCCGGGGGAGTTGGGCCCATGACAGTTGCCATGCTGATGAAGAACACCATCATCGCTGCCAAGAAGCTGTTGAAACCCAAAGAGCTGGAAGCATTAACTGCTTAACGTAGGACTCTCTCTAGCACTGGAAACAACATTCCAAACTGACTCCCAAACAGGCCGATAGAAAATGCAATATTTTTATTTATTGTATTGGAAGTGGAATTTCCTATTCTGAGGTCATAGGTATTTATTTGAAGCTGAAGCATATGCACATTAGTCGTACTGAGGTGTAAGCATCTACACTCCTGGCCTGCTCACGCTCGCAAAGCAGCTTTATGTTGAAGCTAGCTCCTCTAGGAAGCCGGCCCTGCTCTTGCAGGGACTAGGCAGCGGTCGGGATCCTGGGTGTGCCGCTCCCCTGGGAGATAGAGCGCTGCTCCGCGGTGCAAAAGCAACGGCCTTCATGGTTCTGATCCCACAGATGCTCAGTCTGTTCGGACTGCTTGCCTTTGACTCGCTCCGGTCTTCTACTCAACGCTGGATGTCTAGTTTGAGTTGAGCTCTTCTGTAGAAGAAGTTACTCAAGAAAAGCCACGTGCCTGTTCTCAGCCGGCGCGGGCCCTGGGCAGTGGCAGATCTGTTGTAACATGTGTGCAGCTAAACTGGTTCTTTGCTATTTGGATGGTGCCTTTTTTTTTAAAAGCCTTTTTTTTTTCTAACCAAAGAACAATGGGGGGGGACTGTTGGTGTCTACAGTGGGCACACAGGAGGTTTCCTGAACTGTATTGTAAAGCATGCAAGCACTTAGTGAATAAAGCAGGCTAACTCTAAATAAAGTATGAGAAGGAAAAAAAACCCCACAAAACCCAAGCCCTGCTTGTGTCCTAGAATTATTACTAAGCAAGTCTTTCACTCCTCCCAGAAGAGGAGAGCTGCCCTCAGCAAGAGTTTATTAAAGCACTTGTGCTAGGAGCTCCCTCTTGTCCCTCCGGAGCAGGGTCAGGTCTGGCTTCTTCCCTGAATTTAGCTGAGACGCGACTGCTACACGCATCACCAACTCGGCTTAGAAATAAGACTGTCTCTTACTTTCATGCCGGAACAAAACCTGTTCGGCTTCCTGACTACATCAGCATGACAATATAGAATCATTAAGGTTGGAAGAGACCTCCAAGACCATCGAGTCCAACCGTCAACCCAACACCCCCATGCCCACTAAACCATGTCCCTCAGCGCCTCATCTACACGTCTTTTAAATACTTCCAGGGATGGGGACTCCACCACTTCCCTGGGCAGCCTGTTCCAATGTTTAACCACTCTTTCAGTAAAGAAATTTTTCCTCATGTCCAATCTAAACCTCCCCTGGTGCAACTTGAGGCCGTTTCCTCTCGTCCTATCGCTTGTTCCTTGGGAGAAGAGACCGACCCCCCCCTCGCTACAGCCTCCTTTCAGGTTGTATATAATATAAACTTAGTCCTCTAATGAGTTTGTTTGCAAGCTCTAATTATCCAGTGAACATCAACCTTACCTGAGGTCGCGATGCCTCGGGCAGGATGGAAAAACTCACACGCAGTATTGTTTGTGGGCAGCGCGGTGAGTCTTGGACTCCTTCCTCTTCGCATGTTCCCTGGAAAGACTGATCCCACCTTTCTGGGAGCAGGAAGGGTTTGTTGTGACGCTAAAGGGCTGTTGCTGGAGGCAGCAGGTGAGTCGGCACTAACCCCGCGTTCATGGCTCTCTCCTGGAGGGGGGAGTGCTTATAAAAACACTAAACAAGGGGGAAGGAAAGCTGAAGTTCAAGGACTCTGCACCAGAAACACGCTAAGAGCTGAGACTCATTGAAACGAGGTTTATTGGGTTGTAGCACCGAAAAATACAAAATGGCTAAAGTGGTACTGTAATGGAGGTGGCAAATCCGAGACGCTCCGCTGTTTTCGTATACGAAAAGTATAAACCGCGTGTGAACCTTGCAAAACGGACAAATTTAGTCAAAACCAGCTGGAGTGGCTTCAGCTCTGCTCTATGAAACATCTACCAGAGTCCCCGAAGCCTCTCTGGGGGTCTTGCCTAGTAGAGCTGACGTACTGGATAAAGCAAATTAACCCGTTCGATTAAAATCGTAAGCCTACCTGTACCACACTTCGGCTACCACACAGGAGACGGGTACAAAACGCTACAAAACAGACACGATGCGTTCAAGTTGAAATAGTTCTTAACGTTAACGTCAAGCTACGTGGCTCTCGCTTCAGTGGTGATGGGAGTAGTACTGTTAGTTATCTCGCCACGTTTCCCAGGAGGTGTACTTGAACCAGAAAAAAAATGGCTATAAATAGGAAACTGCCTTCAAGTCTTTGTTGGACTCGACTATTTACAGAGAACTGGGATCTGTCCCACGCAAAGGTTCAGACCAGTTGCAATATTTAACTGGTGTCCCAGAACCCCCCCGTATGGCTGGTATAAATATCAGGTAGGCTGTTTCTGCTCAGGGGAAGGGGTGGGCTCCTTGAGGCTTGAAAAAGCGGGGGGGGGGGGAGAAACAC